GCGGGTCCGGGCTGGGGATTCGAACCCGCCACCTTAGGTGTACGTGGCTGGCGCCTTAGCCGGTTGAGCTATAGGCGCCGAGCCGGATTTGCATATGTTAAACCAACCTTGCATCCCTTGGATGAAGTGTTCTTGATCGTGATGTATAATTTTTTTAATGAGTAGCTGCAATCTATTAGCTAAGATGTTGTTGAGTATTTTTGCATTGATATTCATTAGTGAAATTGTTCTGTAGTTCTCCTTTTTAGTTCAGCAGCCTTTCGCAATAACAAAAATTAACAAATGGAACTTAATTAAGCTGAAAAGCTTTTGCACAGCTAAGGACACGACAAATAAAGCAAAAGACAACCTTCGGAATGGGAAAAGATATTTGTAGGGTATCAATATGACAAAGGGTTGATAACTAGAATCTATAGAGAACTCAAATTAATCAACAGAAAAAGAGTAAACAATCCCATCTACCTCTGGGCAAGAGATATAAACAGAACCTTTTCTGAGGAAGACAGATGAATGGCTAACAAACATTTGAAAAAATGTTCATCATCCCTAATTATCAGAGAAATGCAAATCAAAGCCACCCTGACGTATCAGCTAACCCCAGTGAGAATAGCCCACATCACAAAGTCTCAAAGCTGCAAATGCTAGTGTGGATGTGGAGAGAAGGGAACACTTTTACACTGCTGGTGGGACTGCAAACTAATATAACCTTTTTGGAAGGAAGTATGGAGAATCCTCAAAGATCTCAAACTAGACCTCCCATTTGATCCTGCAATCCCATTACTAGGCATCTCTCAGAAGAAAAAATCATTTTATCATAAGGACAATTGCACTAGACCATTTCTTAAAGTTTAATTTACAATTGCCAAAACATGGAAACAGCCTAAATGCCCACCAACCCAGGAATGGATTAACAAGCTGTGGTATATGTTTACCATGGAGACTTTACATCTTTTGTATTAACCTGGATGGAGGTGGAACACATTCTTCTTAGTGAAGCATCACAGGATGGAAAAGCAAGAATCCAATGTACTCAATTCTAGTATGAAGGCAGTAGATGATCTAATACAATGGGTAGGATGGGGGATGAGGGATCGGGGAGAGGGGTAAAGGGGGGGTCACAGTGTATGGTGTACCTCTTGGGGGCAGGACATTACAAGAGGGACTTTACCTAACAACCGCAGTCAGTGTAACCTAATTCTTTGTACCCTCAATGAAGCCCCTACCCCCCCAAAATTAATAAACAACTTTCATCAGACTTCCACCTATGTGGAAGCTTATTGTGCAAATTTCATGAAAGTGAAGTTCTTTCTAGAATTTGTCTGGGCCTCAAGAACCCTAAACTTCCACATGGCCTCCTCAGTGCCACTGTCACGGGCATCTACAGCTTTTCAGGGCACAGTCTTAAACCCATAGTTATAGAGAGCAGCACATTGTTAATAAAATAGGCGCTTAATTTATATCCCATGACAGAAAGAATGATTTTTCTTTCTTTTTTTTTTTTTTCTGAGACAGAGTCTCACTATGTCGCCGTGGTGTCACAGCTCACAGCAACTCTTGGGCTTAAGGGATTCTCTTGCCTCAGCCTCCCAAGTAGCTGGGACTACATGCACCCACCACAATGCCTGGCTATTTTTGTGTTTTAGTTCTCATTGTTGCTTAGCTGGCCCCGGCTGGGTTTGAACCCGCCAGCCTTGGTGTATGTGGCTGACGCAGTAACCACTGTGCTACAGGTGCTGAGCCAGGATGATTTTTCTTAATTTGTAAATATATCTTATGAAACACACACACACAAATCCCAACTAGATTGAAAATAATCACAGAGAATGTCACGTCTGTTCTTGTGGACTTTTGTCTCTGGAATTGTTTTTCAAAGTTTTTTTGTCTTCTATGTCTGTGAGGTCTTAATACCCATGGAATGGCTTCCCCCTGGCAGCCACAGACTTCTGCTCCAGTTTCACTTCATTCTGTTGGCTTGTGGAGGTGATTCCTTGGGCCCTCCATAGTGAATTTTGTATATTCAGTGCCACTTGTATTTTAGGTAAAACCATACTAAATGCATTCTTTAAATTTGGTAAAAGTTCTTATAAGGTAACTTACAGAAAGATAATATTTTTACATAGATATCGTAGATCTGATTATTTCACTCAGCTACTTGAAATTCTCTAAATTACTGTTATCATAAAGACCAGTAACCAAGGCCAGGCATTGTGGCTCATGCCTGTAATCCCAGCACTCTGGGAGGCTGAGGCAGGTGGATTGCTTGAACTCATGAGTTTGAGACCAGTCTGAGCAAGAGCAAGACCCTGTCTCTAAAAATCAGCTGGACGTTGTGGCAGGCACCTGTAGTCCCAGTTACCTGAGAAGCTAAGGCAAGAAGATTGCTTGAGCTCAAGAGTTTGATGTTACTTTGAGCTGTGATGCCATGGCACTCGACTGAGGGCAAGTCAATAAAGTAAGACTCTATCTCAAAAAAAAAAAAAAAAAAGCAGTAACCATTCTTAAATTATCTCTGCCTGTCTCTATAACCAGATATTCTACCTATTTCCCTCTATTTCCTGTTCTCTCCAGCTATCCTGTCTTTTTTGTTTTGTTTTTTTAATTTTGAAAGTGCCTAGTTTTTTCTAATTTCAGGATCCTTGTACATACTCTCCTCCTCCTACCACAACCCAGACTATTTATCTCATATTTCTTCTTGTAGTTTTAGCTTAAACATCATCTTGGGGAAACTTAGCTTATCTTTACTTTTCTACCTCAGTATTCTGTAATAGATTCCCATACCGTCCTGTACTTTTTCTTTATGGTATCATCACAACTGAAATAAAATAGTTTTTGCGCATAATTATTCATTTTTATGTTCTCCTTCTAGATTGTCACCTTTGTGAGTGTAGGGACTGTATCTATCTTGTTCATTACTGTATCCCACCATCTAGTAGAATGTCTAACACATAGTGAATGCTTAGTAAAAATTTTATGAGAGTTATTGATATAAATGTAAAGTCTTATTTTTTTTTAGGTTAAAGAAAGACCTGATGTGGGAGTTTATATCAAAGATTTATCAGCTTATGTGGTAAATAATGCTGATGATATGGATAGAATTATGACACTAGGCCACAAAAACCGTAAGTGTCCTTCTTAATTGCGATTAAACACTTGTGTGTTGCGTCGGATGGTTTAAAGCAAAACTGGTATGATGGTTTGCCCTGTAAAGACTGGATTTTTAGATTTCTTGAAAACCATTCCCCTTTGATTGTTTACTATGTAGCAAGCATATATAAATGAAAAATATCACAGATCGTTTTCCATGTTGACCAAAATTTTGTTTCTTTTGAATAAGGCTAATCCTTGAAACTCTCCTATAGCTGTTCCTTGTTAACTATAATAGTATTGATAACATTTATTAAGCACTTAGTGAGTGGAAAGTGGTTGCCTTAAGTACTTTATAAGGATGATCTATTTTAATCCTCACAAGAGACTATGATGCTATAAAATTCCTACTTTAGGAATGAAGAAACTGAGACTTAGTTAGAGTAATCTGTCTAAAGTAGGACTTCATGTAACTACTTAGTGGTAGAATGAGTGTTAAGACCTATGCCATTAGTCTGCATTAACCAGGAACTGTACTGCCTCCATTTTGCTGACCAAAAAACAGCATAAATTTTAAAAATTGCATGTTTTTAGTAACTTTTTTCTAAGTTTTTCATCTAAAGAGTAAGAAATTCAATCAATAACTAATATATACATGTTCTTGGACTAGTACAAGTAATGTTATTAATAGTAATTAGAAATTAAAAGTAAAAGATAGGAAATGAAATCTTTGAAACTTTATGACTTGACTATTGATTTATCAAACTCAAGGAAATTAAAGAAAAAATTTGAAAAGTCATTACATTCTTATAAACTAACAGAAAGACAGAGAGAGACTAATAAGAAAAAGACCAAATCTGAGAAAAATAAGCAATAGATATGGATGTTATTCACAGAAGATACACTCCCTGATAAACTGTCTGTATGTGCACAGGCATGTGTGTTTCTATTTTTAGGGAGAGCATGCTTGTCTTCTTTCTTTTTTAGTCAGATAACAGCATACTTTTATTCACTCAATAATATTATCTTGGAGATCATTTCACATGAACATGTATTAGCACATGTCTAAACATTTGAAAATAATTATATAGTATTTCATTGGATAGATATATCATTATTTATTAATCTTTTATTGATGTACTTTAGGGTTGTTTTCAAACTTGCTATTATGAGCAATACTACAGTAAATGAGTTTATACATACACGGGCGTATTTATAGGACAAATTTTTTTCATGCCCTTTGAAAAAATGAACATTTGCTTTTCTTTTTTCAAAATAAATATTGTAAAGGTGCTTTTACAACATTTTTGTTTTCATTATGTGATGTGTTAGTAAATTAGAATATTGGGTCTATTTGGTTGCTATTAGCTGTTTCCTCCCAGGGATTGTGAAGTTGAACGTAAGTCACTTTAAGCGGCATTACATTGTTTTATTTTTTACAACTAGAAATACAGTAAAATCACAATCATAAATAGCATTCTTACATTACAAAAACAACAGGTATTAAAATATTGAGTATGTGTTTTTCAAAAAATTTTCTTTCTCATTTCAAATTGAAAAACACGGCTCAGCACCTGTGGCTCAAGTGGCTAAGTCGCCGGCCATGTACACCCAAGGTGGTGGGTTCGAATCCCCAGCCCGGGCCTGCCAAACAACAATGATGGCTGCAACCAAAAAATAGCCTGACGTTGTTGCGGGCGCCTGTGGTCCCAGCTACTTGGGAGGCAGAGGCAGAAAACTCGCTTGAGCCCAGGAGTTGGAGGTTGCTGTGAGCTGTAATGCCACGGCACTCTACCCAGGGGGACAGCTTGAGGCTCTGTCTCAAATAAATAAATAAATAAATAAACAAATTGAAAAACACTGCCAACAGTGTGGTGGGATAATCAGCATACCTATGGAATTGTTCCTGTCCTTTGGCCTCATAATTTTAGTTTGGAAAGTATGTTCCATGGAAATAACCCCAAAGAGAAAGAAGGGAGCTTTTGAAAGATGCTTACTGTCACTTATGAGAGTCATAAATAACAAACCATCCCAAATATTTTACAGTAAGGGAATAGAAAAAAAATTTTCAGTAATATTTTTTAAGTTGTTCTAACATGGAACTACACATAGGAAATAATGTTAAGTGGAAATAATGTTAAGTGGAAAACAAATGTTAAGTGGATAAACGAGGACCAAATACTCTGTGAAAATATGTATGTGTATCACTACTGATCAGAAGATTTGAAGTGGTATCAAATTTAATGGCTCTATATTTTGGGGGAAAATTCATAATTTGATTTAAAAATCAAAAAGTATATATCAAATCACAAATCCTTGTATTTTCTTTCACTAATTTTTCATTTATTTTTCATCATTAGGCTTTTCCTTATCAGTTCAATTTACATTCTAGTTATCTGATTTTAGTTTTTAATGTAGTTATATGCTAAAAAAGAATACCCTTTTAATGTTTAACTTATAAAATCAAAGTTTGCATAGAGAAGTACTATGTATTCATGTGGTTTAGATGCCAAGAACATAATTCTTTTTGGACATACCTGAATCAGCAATAATTTTCCCAAAATTTTAACAATGTATTTTTTTAGTATAAATTAGTTAATTTTTAGGCAGTAATACTTGGGATTGAAATTATTTAGTGCTAAAATTATGTCTTTAGTATGAGAAACATTACCAGTTATTTTGGTATCAACATAAAGTATAAGAAATTTTATATAATAGCTAAATATACATTCATGTTTTTGTGGTTTGGCGATGTTCTCTGGCCACTGACTGTGACTAAATTAGGCATCTTAGAGTGTTCTGGATATTTAATCATTTTAAAAAGCATTCTATATAACACTTCTAAATGCTTTCCTTTCTTTATTAAAGGTTCTGTTGGTGCAACTAATATGAATGAACATAGTTCCCGTTCTCACGCCATCTTTACTATTACTATAGAATGCAGTGAGAAGGGTGTTGATGGGAACATGCATGTCAGGATGGGGAAGCTCCACCTTGTAGATCTTGCTGTAAGTAATAGGATACTACTTAAGGAATACTCTTGTATTTCATAAATTATTAAGAATTAAAGTGAAAAGATGTGATTTACATATGATTTTTAAGTTATTACTTGTGTGTGTTTAACTTATTATTTATTATGGAATATTTCAAAGGCATACAAAAGTAGATAGACTAGTACAATGATCCCCTATGCACCTATCACACAACTTTAAGAAGTATTAGCTCATGGCTAATCTTGCTTCATCTACTCTTACCTACTTCTTACCTTCCTGTATTATTTTGATGTGAATTTCAGATAATGTATGAGATTTTCTTTTTATTGTTGAGTTACTTTTTTTAAATCCTTGGGTAGGATATTCTGTACTTTTTAATCTTAGCTTTACTTTTATCTCTACTTATTGCTAGGGTTCAGAAAGACAAGCAAAAACTGGAGCTACTGGACAACGCCTAAAGGAAGCTACAAAAATCAATCTTTCACTTTCCACCCTTGGTAATGTAATTTCTGCCTTGGTTGATGGAAAAAGCACTCATGTGCCTTATCGTAACTCTAAATTGACACGTCTTCTTCAGGATTCTTTAGGAGGAAATTCAAAAACCATGATGGTAAGACTTAATTGGTGGTATAGTTAAACAACAGACAAATTTAAGATTCTAATTTATGCCAATAATTGACATGTGTAACATTTTAAAAACTATTGATTATTTTACTTTTTAAAATGTGTGGCTGTCCTTGCTGTAATATATTGTATGCATTAGCCCACAGCAGTGTCATTTGGAAACACGTGGTTGACACTTTCTTTTTCAAGAAAGCCAGGGTGCATATGTGCTCCAAAATTTTTTTTTAATTTTAATTTTTATTTACATATGTGTATATATTTTTTGTTTTGTTTTGTTTTTGATACAGAGTTGCCCTGGGTAGAGTGCTGTGGTGTCATAGCTCTCAGCAACCTCAAACTCTTGGGCTTGAGTGATCTTGCCTCAGCCTCCTGAGTAGCTGAGACTAAAGGTACCTGCTACAATGCCTGGCTAGTTTTCTATTTTCAGTAGAGATGGGCTCTTGCTCTTTTTTGCTCAGGCTAGTTTCAACCTCCTGAGCTCAAGGGATCCACCTGCCTCAGCTTCCCAGAGTGCTGGGATTAGAGTCATGAGCCAATGTACCTGACCTCCAAAATTTTTAAAATATATTTTTAATGGCAGTATTAATTTTAACTGCATCAAGTGTAAATTTTTTTTCTAATTTGACAGTGTGCAAATATTGGGCCAGCAGATTACAATTATGATGAAACTATCAGTACATTACGGTATGCTAACCGTGCTAAGAATATTAAAAATAAAGCTAGAATTAATGAAGATCCAAAGGATGCTCTGCTTCGTCAGTTTCAGAAAGAAATAGAAGAACTGAAAAAAAAGCTCGAAGAAGGTAACGTTTTTCTCAAAATATTAATCTTTCTATTGACTAAAAATATGTTTAACCCCTAAATGTCCTAACGAAGACCACCTATTAAATGGAATTTTTTTATGCCTCTGATATTGATAGTTAAAAGAATATTTCTGGAAAGTAACTTGGTACTTAAGTACTTTAGTATTTTCATATTAAGCTTCAGTTAAATTACATAATATTGGTATGTGTGGTTTTTAGAAAAATTAACTTAAACTGCCATCCTTAGTCCTATGATTTTTTATAGGTTTCACATGTCTGCCTATTAAGTAATTATATATTTATTTTTTTTTTAGAGATAGTCTCACTTTGTCACCCTTGGTAGAGCGCTGTGGCGTCACAGCTCACAGCAACCTCCAGCTCTTGGGTTTAGGTGATTCTCTTACCTCAGCCTCCCAAGTAGCTGGGACTACAGGTGCCTGCCACAATGCCCAGCTATTTTTTTGTTGTAGGTTGACTGGGGCCGGGTTCAAATCCGCCATCCTGAGTATGTGGGGCTGATTCCCAAATTACTGAGCCACAGGCACTGCCCAAGTAATTTTTTTTTTTTTGAGACAGAGTATCACTTTATTGCCCTCTATAAAGTACTGTTGTGTCATAGCTCACAACAACTTTAAACTCCTAGGCTCAAGTAATTCTCTCGCCTTAGCCTCCTGAGTAGGTGGGACTACCGGTGCCTACCACAACAGCTAATTTTAGAGACGAGGTCTTGCTTTTGCTCAGGCTGGTCTTGAACCCATAAGCTCAGGCAATCCACCTGCCTCAGCTTCCCAGGTGTGAGTCACTACACCCAGCCTAAGTAAGTAATTCTTATTTGTTTCTGTCCGAATAAGAATTCTGGCTTATTTGTCTCTGGTACAAACCAGAGTTCTGGCTTTATGATCAATACCAGTTCACTATGTTTGAAGTAAAGAAAGATACTGAACAGTCCTGGGTAAACCAAGTTTGTTGTAAATGAAAATACATTGTGTGGCCTTAAAAATATGCTTTCATACTTAAATTTAAACATGGGATTCTATTTTGGAAATTCTTTTCTAACAGCATCATGCTAGAAAGAAAGTTTGAATATCTTATTCATGAAGATGAGAAGCTCCCAGTTATCATTAAGTGCTCAGTGACTCCCTGTATCCTCTTGCTAGTGACAAACCCTTTCTGATGGGCATAGAGCTCTTTTTCATACCACATAAACAGAGGACTTTGAAATCGCAACTTTGCAGTGTGTATGGAAACGGAATAGGTTAGAGGTGAAATCCAGTGATGGCAGTGTTACAAATGTTTGGAAAAGGTGCTGATTTAGTAAACTTGGGTAAGATTATTGAGGAATAGCAGTAAGTGAACTCTCACTTAGGTAATGAAGTTTGGTGTTTCATATGTGACCACTAGGTGGTATTTATAGCCAGTATGTTTTAAATATTTTTAGTTTCTTAGTCAATGCTAATGTTGAGTGCATACCTTCGCTTTGCTGACTTTTTTTTTTTTTTAACTTTTTGTTGTTGTTGTTGTTGTCATTGCTGTTTGGCAGGCCAGGGCCAGGTTCGAACCTGCCACCACCAGTGCATGTGGCCGGTGCCCTAGCCACTGAGCTACAGGCGCTGCCTGCATTTTTTGATGTGGTAAAATATACATAAGATTTACCATTTACCCATTTTTTAAATATACAATTTAGTGACATTAAGTATTATATATTCATGTTGTGCAGCCATCACTTCATCTCCAGAACTTGTTCATCATCCCAAACAGAAATTCTATACCCGTTAAATACTAACTCCCATTACCTTCCCCATTAGTTCCTGGTAGCCACTGTTCTACTTTCTGTCTCTGTGACTTTGATGGTTATAGATATACTATGTAAGTAAAGTCATAGTGTTTGTCCTTTTGTGACTGGCTTATTACACTTAGCATAATGTCTTCAAGGTTTATCCATGTTGTAACATTTATCAGAATTTCTTTTTTAAAAGTTATGGTAAAATATATGTAATATAAAATTTGCCATTTTAACCAATTTTTAAGTCTACAGTTCTGTAACATTAACTATGTTCTGTAACCATCCAGCTCTAGAAATTTTTCATCTTGCAAAACTGAAACTTTGTACCTATTATACAGTATATCTCTATTCCTCCCTTTCCTTAGTTCCTGGAAACAACCATTCTACTTTCTATGAATTTTACTACCCTAAGTATCTTATGTAAATGGAATGATTCAGTGTTTGTCTTTTTGTGTCTGTCCTGTTTCACTTAGCATACTGTCTTCAAGATTTGTCCCTGGCTTGGCACCCATAGGTCAGTGGTTAGAGCACTGGCCACATACACTGGGGTTGGTGGGTTCGATCCTAGCCTGGGCCTGCTAAACAACAATGACAACAACAACAACAACAAAAATACTTGGGCATTGTGGTGGGCGCCTGTAGTCCCAGCTACTTCGGAGGCTGAGGCAAGAGAATTGATTAAGCCTAAGAGTAAGAAGTTGCTGTGAGCTGTGTTGTCACTGCACTCTACTGAGGGTGACACAGTGAGACTCTGTCTCAAAACAAACAAACAAACAAACAAAAAAACCCAACAGGGCGGAACATGATGGCAGATGGAAAAGACCTTTAACTCAGCTCTCCTGGAACAATAGGTGAGAGCTAGTGGGCTAGATCATACCTGGTGTGAAATATTCGTGGAGTGGCAGTTTGGGATGTGCAGTGAGGTGGCAGATTACTGGACTTGGAGTATAATCCCAGGCAGCAGAGACTGCCAGGCAAGGTTCTGCCAGCCAGCTCCCCCAGGGAGGTCCCAGAAGCCCATTACAGTTTTCAGTTCTTGGGGAAGCTAGGTGTTGTGTGGAAAGATTGGTGAAGTTGGGCAGCACCTGCGGCTTAAAGGAGTAGGGCGCTGGCCCCATATGCCGGAGGTGGTAGGTTCAAACCCAGCCCTGGTCAAAAAAAAAAACCTGCAAAGGAAGATTGGTGAAGTGTGGACTCTTTTTTTTGTGGTTTTTGGCCGGGGCTGGGTTTGAACCCGCCACCTCCAGGATATGGGGCCTGTGCCTTACTCCTTTGAGCCATAGGCAGCACCCTGAAGTGTGGACTCTTGAGCAGAATTTGGTGACCAGCGTGGGGTGCTGTCTGGAGCAGCTCTGCTGTGTTTTGGTAGGGATGAGACATTCATGCAGGGAAACAGGCGGCCATTGTTATAAAATCTGTGAGACAGGTGTGTGCAGGCCTCTTTCTGTAGGCCAAGTACTGTGGTCTGAGTTCCACCTGTGGGGAGTTGTCCTACATTCTGAACAGGCCCAGGATATCCCGCATTCCATGGGAACTGGAAGGAATTTGTGAAACCTGCCTCTGAAGATTTTTTGAGATCTGTGAAATCACAGCTGGGCAGGGACTTGAGTGCCAACCCGTTAAATGCGAGACCATCAAGAACAGTCTAAGCTGGGAAACTGGTAAAAGCCTGGGAACCACTCATGGCGCCACCTGGTGTGCAGAAAGTATATTGCAAAATAAGTATATTCCTACTAAATTTGATCCCGATGGCATATATATGTGTTTATGTAATTTTTTTGTTGCCTTTTTATATATTTTTTTCTTTCTTGTAGGAGTAGTTAAAAATTTTTTCTTTCTCTCTTCTACCTCTTATGGTTGCTGAGATTGCTTACATCAGGCAATTTGAGCTTTTTTGTTTGTTTGTTTGTTTGTTTGTGTGTCTTGTGTTTTGCTAAGTCCTCCAGTTGGCTCTTTTCCCTAACTCCACTTTTTACATTCAATAAGAGCAAGGCCTTCTTTATTTTTTTTCTCTTTTTCTTTTTGTTGATTGAAGAACCTTAGCTTAATCTGATCTCTTTCCCTACTTCACTCCTCAACATTCTCTCAGATAACAGAGACTCTTCTACTCTTACAATCTTTCCCACATATTGTGCTTCTGCATTAGCTAAGATTCCCCCCCCCTTTTTTTCTTGTTTCCTTCTTGGACTGTTGACTCTCTTTTCTTTCTTCATTCCTTTTCCCTTCCCTTCCTTTATTTGATTCAATGGTACATTTAATTTCCTTTGTCTATTCTTGTTTTTCAATATTTTTTCTTACCCTACTTTTTCTAAATTTACTTTTTATCTTTATTTTATTTTTTGATTCTTCTTGTTTCTCCACCTTTTCTTTGCTGAGGGTGAGTGCAACACAGTTGTAGTCTGGCGGGTAGACCACAGCAGTAATTTGGCTCAAGTAGGCCAGAGGAACTCTTTATGTTGGCCCTAGGAAGAAAGTATTAGGAAGACCATGCTGCAGAACTTTTCTATTTCTCCATTTTTTTTTGTCTCTCTCTCTCTCTTTTTTTCTTTCTTTATCTATACTCACGTTTCCTTTCCTGTCTTCTGTGTTTGTTCTTTTTCTTCTCTTCCTAATTTTGGGCAGAGGAAGAGTCCAGATGTGTTCAGGCTGGTCAGGAGTGCCTGATTTAGAGGAACTCACCCAGCACAGCTCCTCAGAACCTTTGAGCTGTAGAGGTGCTGTGGTGTTAGCACAGGGCTGAACACTAACATTTCTTCTATCACTCGCATCTTTCCTTCCTATCCTTCTTCTCTCCTGTTCTTCAGTTTTCTTCTGTCAGTCCCCCTGATCCCCCTTTTCTTTTCTTTTGTTTTTTTCTTTCTTTTTCATTTCTCTTACTCTTTCCTTCTTTTTTTATTCCTTTTTTTTCCTTCCTCTTGCTTCTCCTTGTTTGCTCCAACCCTTCTCTGCCTTCTGACCCCATAGCAAGAGGCTTCTTCATCACCTAAACTCTGAGACAAGGTAACTTGAAGCAAAGGAGGAAGTGAGAAGGAAAAAGGTGTACAAGGAAGTGAACAAGAAGAAAGCATACATGAGGAGGAATCAAAAGAAAAATTCAGGCACCATGAATAACCAAATTAGAGCAACTCCCCCAAAGGAACCACAAGGCAATTTTTAAAGAGAACTCCTCCTATAAAGAATTAATGGGGCTCAGTGCCAGTAGCACAGTGGTTACAGT